TTTCGCTAGTTGTAAATCAACAGATGTTTTCCAGTTGTGGTTGTCTTAGTCCGAGGCTAAGGCTATAAATTGTTAGGAAAGATATGTGCCACTAATGCATTTGTTGGTGACCAAACTGAGGGCCACGATAAAAACAACCCAGTAAAGGTTGAATGGAACGCTTTAGCTGTACCTAGTAAAAAGGGTCAGTCTTCCGTCCAGGGGCTCTGTCTAAATATGGTTACTATCCTGATATGAAATAAACCGCACACAAATTCATTGTATTCAAGATGGACGATAACTTACGCAGTTCTCCCGCACGCTCTGCTTGTAGATTCGCGTATGTCGTTGAGGTCACATTGTCTTCATGCACTACAGTAATTTACCTTGCTGCTGCAGCAAGACGCGATGTTATCACTAATGAGCTGTCCTGTCTTCTCGCCTAGTTCCAATGAATGTTTATTATCTCGTATGTCTAGCTGCCAATTTCGTGTTTTTTAACTTGGTAATCGTGTGTTAAGCATGCGTTCTCATCTTCGGAGGTAATTATTCTTGCTTTGCCTTGACATTTTGCTTTGCAGTTTCAATAGTTACAATTCTCCACGATTGAATCTCCGTCTTATGTTTACTTTCTAATTATGAAGCTACACGTCAAATGTCATCTTTTATTGTAGACAAGAATATTCAAATTACTCGGTATAGTTTGTTATTTTTTAAGGAATTTAAAAGCAAAGAAAACACCAAGCAAACTCAACATATCGATATTGAAAACGTTTCGGAGTCTAGCTCCATCATCAGTTCGAAAAACTAAAAATAAATAAAATCCTATTATTATATCAAAATTCTAAGACAGACATTAACCCTAAACGAGACCTAACATTATATCGAAAAAAAAACAGGACTCGATTGGAACAACTTAGTCTTAGGGTTCACGAAAAGAATTATTTATTATAAATAATTATTATTAATTATATTATTATAATTATTATAATTATTATATTATTTTCGTGAACCCTAAGACTAAGTTGTTCCAATCGAGTCCTGTTTTTTTATATAATGTTAGATCTTGTTTAGGTTTTATGTCTGTCTTAGAATTTTGTTATAAGAATATGATTTTATTCATTTTTAGTTTTTCGAACTGATGATGGAGCCGGACTCCGAAACGTTTTCAATATCGATATGGTGAGTTTGCTTGGTGTTTTCTTTACTTTTATATTCCTTGTGAACTTGCGATATAAGCAGACTGATAATATAAGTACTTGTTATTTCTTGATTTTATTATTAGGGATAGCGCTCACTATATTCAACAAAATATCAGCCGTCATTTATGGCTTTCATTTAAATTTCATTTGTGCAGGTCAGTTGAGTTCACTTCACTATTAGTACGAGCTATGTTAGATTGGCGTTAGTTGCTTCGTCCTGATCGGGAGGCGTCTGGCAGGCGTGACTGTTACCACTCGAGTCAAGTATGGATAAACTGGCACATTGAGTTGATGAAGGCGACGTGTTGCTGAAGTTTGTGTGCTTTTGTAAACCAAAAGCCTCCCTGCAATAGTCGAGCCTCGCGCTGACTCGGTTTGGCAGCTGGACTCGGCTAGTTGCGTATGCAAAGTTTCGCCTTAGAAGGTGAAGATTCGACCCGTCCTGTTATTCGGCACGCTCGAATTTGTGCTCTTAATCATATTCATTCTCTTTTAGGTCGTCTAGCCTTCGCTGGCCGCTTGCCAGATCACGATCACTAAATCGTGGATTCGGCTAAGAAATCGCCATTAGTTTCAAACAGACTATCGAAAAGACGTAACCTGAAAAGACGTAACCTTTTATGTACTTGAATTAATTTATTTCGCTTTGCTGTCGTGATCTCGACTTTTTTTCCAATCTTGACGATTTTCATCAATGTTGTTTTATGTATTAGGTATTTTAATACTCTTAACAAAAAATATACTGTGAATTTTACTGTTGAGTTACATTTGAATGAATTTCTAGGTCGTCGTTTCCTTTTTAAATATATTTTAGCTCGCTCTTAAAGCTGTGCATTTTCCTTGCTGCAACTTTCTCGAATACCTTACTTGGTGTATGTAATCAGGTGCTAATTGCGTGCGAGAAATGTTACTATGAGCATAAGCATTCCCTGCGGTAATGTTGCCCACTCTCATGCAGTTCGCCCCCTAATGGTTTGCTTGAGTTGAGCTCGTAAAGCAAACGAGAGTTGCAAGCGCAGCAATTATGTCTCTGCCAGGCATGTCATCACACGCTCATGCCGTGCGACCCGTCCGCTGCAACTACTTCTGTGAAATCCACGACACTTAGTCTAAACAGCGATGCACTTTTTCCCTTATGTGGGTCATCTTGACACAGTTTGGCCCGGAAATTTTACGTGTCTGTGCTACACTCAGCAAGTGTGTCACTATTTTAGACAATATGATCCATATATTTTTCCGAGTGTGATGGAGTCAAAACTTCAGTCGCTTTTTGCATACGGGCTCTCTTATTTTCCGGCCCTTCTCAGTTTTGAAAGCTCTAATTATCTATCCCAGTTACGCAATTCTTCTAGTGACTGCTTCTATTTGAACCTCAACTCTCGTGTCAATTTTGTGCAGCTTCAATTTTATTTGTTTTACATATAGATTTTGTGTCTAAGCAAATAGATAAAATAGTGATAGCCTTTAAGTTTCATATTTGAGTTTTCCTCTGTATTTTAATCATGAAAATGATTGAAAAATAGGAATTTTTTGTCAATAGATCAAAAAACTAGCCGAATATCATGTTGGAAGGCTTAGTTTGCAAACTGCGCTGTGTCTTATCATCTTATCTTGGGCTCTATCTTGGTGTTTATCTGTATATACTATGCTTGCGCCTCGCTCTTTACCCTGGGCTCCAGTTAGACGTGAACTCGAGCATTTGCTTTTCAAAATAACTTGAACGTGATGAGCAGACCAAAATCGAGCATGCAGTAATTAATTTTTCATTCATGAAGATCTACCATAATCGACCACTGCTAACTTTCATTGTTTATGAGTTGAGTTGCAACTCTAAGTGGAGCCAGCTTTTACAGCTGCTGCTGCTGCTACTTCTTGCCTAATTAGGCGTTGCACAGTGCCCAGCTTTCTCCCTTGAGCAATGACAAAGGCTACACTGTTCAAACTTCTACAAATGACGTTGAGTGCCTCTTGTTTCTCATGATTGTATGACACTTGTCGTAACATAATTGTATTGCAATCTATTGCAAATCTCCATTTATTGGTTTTCAATTACAATGATATTGTGCTTCGGTTACTCATTTTCACCAACGTTTTCGGATGTTAGATGAAAGGTGAGCAGCGGTCCCGGGGTACAGAAGAATTTACGTAAATGTTCAAGTTTAAGATCGCTATAGTCTATTTCTTGCTATAGTTCAATGTGCGAGAAACATGCGCCCTGTCGCACCAGCACTACACTAACGTCATCGCAGTCTCGACAAAGAATCCTCTGTGTCAGAGCCGCTATTCAGACTCTTATCTTAATGCATTTGCTTCGTCCTGTATACTTCTCATGGATTATTACTATATAATGAGGCCGCTTGAATTCCCCAGTTAATGAAGCCTGCCGGGCTTAGCACGACGATTCCGTGAGTGTTTCATGCAACCAAAAAATCGTTATGGATCAGTTGGTCCTTGAAGCTCTGACGTTTCTTGCGACTATAGCAACTAAGATATTAATGTTTACAGAAGTCCATGAATAACAATCAATGCAAACTAGATTTCCTGCGACCTTTAATAAAGTAACGTTGACTCTCGATAATGTTTGATTTTGCACCAACACCCGAGAAAGTCAGGAAGTTGGGTCGTGTTGGTTTGCTGACACTCTGTGGTGAACAATACTGGCGGGACGCGCCTACACAACGGTGCGATACAAGAAACTTCTACTCTTATCATCTAGAAAAATTTCCGTCACCACTCCTTGTCTTGTTATGAGCTCAGCCGCTTGCTTGTGTCTTGTATCAACTTTGCCGTTTAATCTGGATAATTTCAATGGTATATCTCCTATCTACCATTCTTTGTTCATCTTCTTGCATATTTGAGTATATAAGGCCTCTATAGCCAAATGTCACGTTCTTCTTAAATGAGGTTTCATCAACTTTTTCGGCTTAATCTCAATATCAAAGGTTGTTCCTATTCAATTATTTGCTACTTGATTAAACCAGTTTTGCATGATAAAATGAAATTAATTGTACTCTTTGGTATATACATGGGTTCGTGCATTATTGCCGTCAAAGCTCTCGCTGAAGAACAGCATGTGCATTATTGCTGTACGAGATATTAGTCGATTGAATTTTTCATCAACATTTTTGTATTTAGTTGCAGGCATTTAACGTACAGCTTGGACGTCAACGTCCTAACACTATGACGAACCTCAGGACGAACCGTTGAGCCTGCAATCAGTTATATGTTGCAGACCGAATCTTCGTTATATGATAACCAACACATACAGCTTACCGAGTTCCTTATCTCTCAGCTTCTAATCTTATCTGAACCTCTCGTATCTGCTGCGCTTATTCTAAGAAAATCTACAAATTTGTATAACTGTTTAAAGAATTTTGTAATTTGGTTGTAGTATGTATTAATTTTCCACTATATTTACCGAGGAAGCATCATCTAACTTTTTCCATCTGTGCACTATATAAAAATTGGCCACATCCACTCCATTCTGATATTTAGTATCTCTTGAGTTTAGCTGCAGTTACGTCTGTACGTGTCATGTTAATATCTAGTTTTGTTTTCAATGCACGAGATTCATTTTCATGTATTGTCATGAGTATATTCCATCCTTTCCAATTTAAACACAATTTAAAAAGATTCGAGATGTGACAGAAAGTGAAATATACAATTGATTGTGCGTTGTTGCTCGTATAACTCCGGTGAACGTAGGTAGGTCATCGGTACCGATCCTTTGAGGGACATCAAGGCTTGTAATGTATGTAATGTAAACATTGTTTACATAGCAAAATATATTAACCAGCAAATAACGTTTGGTTGTTACAGACCGTGAGGACCAGAGCATCTTGTGCACCGGTGAATCTGGTGCCGGTAAGACCGAGAACACCAAGAAAGTCATCCAGTATCTCGCGTACGTCGCTGCATCCAAAGCAAAGGGCGGATCCACGGTGAGTTTTGCTCTTTTTTATTCTCTAAATATTAACACTTCAAGTGCGGCTATGTCGTATTTAGGGCGTATTTCATACCAGTGGTACTACGCACCGGTGGGTCGTGCATCACTTAATGTGTTAATACTTTGATGTTTCTTTTACCAATAATCTCAAGCAGGTAATTCTGTATTAATGTTCTGCTTCCTGGACGAATATTCGATGCATCCACTTTTCATCGCGTCGGATATCAGCGATCTTTCAGGTTGCTGGAATTAAGATGGGCCTCGTTCTCCGTTTTTTTTTTTACAGGTACTCCCACTTTGCTCAATGATTTTGCAAAGTTTGCTACAGGTACTCCCACTTTGCTCCCATGCTTAATGATTTACATATGCATTGTAATTATTTTCGTCGCGATTATCGAACTTCGTCATGTCTAGATGTAGATTTAACTCGAGATCTATACTCAATTCGCAATTACTTTCGAAGAATAAAAATATAACAAAAAATCTGCGACTAATGTTGTAGAATTTGTGGTCATCTTTTCATTATCATCGTCTGGAGTGCCAATTTGTGGCCTACATTCCGACACAATCGCCTGCCATGTTCGGTGACCACATCAAGTTCTTCGTGCGGTAGCCGATTCTGGGAGCGGTTCATTACTTGCGTCGATCGGTTCTTCTTGAGTTGAAAGCACCAGCATACAGCCTCTGATTTCTCAGAAATTATTCCCTGGCTTGTCTAGCCACGTCCGTCGTTTAGGATGGCCTCCCGGAGCTCCATTCTCGTTCTCTGATAGCGGCCGGTGTGCCTTGCGTATTTTGCCCGCAGTCTTGGATCGGACGTTAATTACCGCCCGTTTTGAGTCCATTCGCAGTATCAGATGATGTAGCCTGGCTGTACTAATGATACTCCATTTTTTGTACCAGCAATTTTGGGCCGAAAACACGTATACACGAGTATACGTCGCTTATTAGCGAATTAGTATTCAATTCGTGCTTTGTTTTGCGGTACGAACACGAATCACGCTAAAACCGATCACACCCTCCATCCGAAATTACATTGTTAAATTTTCCCGAGCACGATCTTTTCATAATATTTTTGTGAGTGTTACAAATTATTTATACTACCTCCACTTGTACTGTTCCGTAAAAATTACAGTACGGTACTTTATAGGCACTTGATTTAGCTATTGAACGAGTGGTCAAATCAACTCAAAACCTGACAAAATAATTAAAAAGCACTTTTTCATCGCAGATCTATGATTTGTGAAAATTGTTAACGTTATTTACTAATCTTTCGGAAAGAAAATGGGGAAACCAGTTAATACGACTATCGCTAGTCGCTGGTGTACGGGGACCTAATAGCTTGTATTAGGACAACAATGCACAAGTTGTTGGCTGGTGTGTGTGGCTGATATCGTGGCCCCAGTCTCGCTCTATTTGCAACCCCACTGCATTAATAGGGTTGGCTTATGCAGAGTCAGCCTGCATGTCCATATTGTGCGTATCACTCGTGTTCACCTCGTATGGAGGTACGCTGCTCTGTGTCTGGAGCTGCAGCTCTGTGCTGGTCAGGCTGCTATGCATGACTGATGATCTAAGACCCCGACATTTGCAGACCTTACTTGGTATATCTTCCATCATGGTGGCTTTGTCGGTATCAGGTTTCCTAATTACTTGCATTCGTTAACATTATGTAATCCATGAAGAATTATTGATGTATCCCGAATTAGTACTTTCCTAATTTTGTTGCTGCTACCCAGGCCTTCCGTTTCGAAGCAATTCTTCATTGCGAGAAAAAAATCAGGCACAACTATCCCGACCTGATAGAATTATTTTTTATCATTGCGTCAGGACGATCTTACTTAACCTCCTAAAACTTCTAGCGACGCGCGCCTTCCCGTGTGGAATTGTTGACGTTATTTCCAACCGTCACTTCAGAAGCATTTCCTCGGTTTCTCCTGGACACTTATTAACATAACAACTTGAGTCAAGAACTGAGAATTACTTACATTTATTCTGCATAAAAGTTCCTTCTAAATTTGACTTTGTTGAAGTTTGTTCCCATCTAAATATCAATTAAGTTTTCCCGGTTGCAGTGAGGTTACTACTATACTTGATACTCGAGTCCCAGCTAATGTTTTTTTAAAGAAATTGGGTAGTATATTTAGAGGACGAAGCTATGTCCACTGTGCCTGGTCGTTGGATGAAGTCTGCTTGGGATTGGTTTCATTTTCTTGATGAAATTACGTAGCCGTCTTGCTCGCATCTCCTTTTATAAATATTATTATATATTCATGTTGTTGTATGATTGTTTTGCATTTTCCACTCTGGGACTGGCTCGTTTCTTTGTGCTGCTCGCTGACCCAAAAACATCGGCGTGTTAAGATCTTCAAATATAATATCAAATTAACGATTACGATGTCTTAATTAGACCTGAGCCATTAACATGCTCGTGTGATGATCAGCTCTTTAAGAACTATCTTCTTGCGCCATGTAAAGAAGCTCATTATTAGGATTATTAGTGGAACAATGCTTGTATCGCAGAACTATGTTAATCGTTGGTCTCGCGATGCATATATCGTTGAGCAACCCACTCGCTGTTGCCGTCTTACTTTCTCTAGTAACTAATATGGTTTTTTCAATTAGGTTTTTCTATGATCCCTAATCATTTTAATTATACTAAGATTGTACTTAAAAGGCTTAAATGCTGCAAAAATGTGAAGCTTTTATTTCCCTAATTTTTTTTGTTGCTTGCTTTGAAAAATGCCGATGTTTCATTTTTCAGGTTCAAGCTTCTATTTAATAAAGGGGCCTAATTGCTTGGCATCTCGAAAGGTTGTTTCGACAATATCCAAATGAGAATAAATAGAGCAGAAGAAAATCTGTTTCGTTTGTTGTGCATGCTCATAAATTGCAATCACTCATAACATCACACAAGACACAGCCAAAGGCCTTGTATACATCAGGTGAGGGTCGGTCAAGTCGAGTGTTGTTTTTACCTTCGTTGGCATTCTGGAGCATCGGTATCAAGGGTGCGGAGACCGCCGCTACCCGCCGTCCATTCATTGATGATAATCTGTGTGCGATGTGACGCTCGGATATTCATTAACATTCCTGGCTACTGATTGCCAGCATACTGCGTCGACGTACTTTTTTCTCTTGCATTATCATAAGCTCAGCTTGATAGTACGCTGACACGAGAACTAATTGTAGCGTCTCATGGGTTAGGTCACAATTTTCAGATTTTTTTTCTAAGGATTTGATCGATTTCATTATCGTTTTGAAGCTATGTCGATATTTACTCACCAGAAAATTAGCACTGACAATTGTCATTAATTAAAACAGAAACTTTTTCGCGTGTATAATTCAAAAGTAGCTCAGAGTTTTATTTTTCATTGAAAAATGAATGACTTGAAATGAATTGACATTGAAATGAATTGACTTGGTTTGTATTCGAGAAAATAGCTTTTAGCATCTTGTTAAGTTCATAAGTTACAAAAAATTGTACATTCACTTTTCATCATTTTCAATCTGTCAGAAAGCTCTGCTGTTGTAGTGCTGGGCCTCAAGATTTATCTGTCTGACTGGCTTCACTACGTATCCTTGTTGAAGTTGTGCTCTCATTCTAATAGTCTCTAAACTCTCGAGTGTCAGTCTATATAAAACCAGGAGTGAGAGGTATACCTTTGCTTCGTGAAGTAGCTTTGGTCAGTTCATGTCTGATGATCACGATAAGATTAAGCGCCACTTAAGTTACGCCTATTAGCCCTGTGGTTCCTTGTTCTTTGTCAATTCTCATTCTTGCTAGGAATAATACAATCTTGCTATTCTTTGTACCGAAGAACGATAGTGATTATTGTTACTACCATGGTGTTTATTTATGCTGAAATTGATTTGCAAAAAAAATGCGTTTCGATTGCCAAATTCGAAATTGATTTGCGTTTACTTAATTATTCTTATAAACTGATGATCAATTTCCTGCTGTACTGAGCGCATTTGGTATGACAATCGTTGTCATCCCTTGCGTTACATCGTGTTGGACAACATTCAACACACAAACACTCCTGGCGATCATGTTATCATATCTTCGCTACCGTAAGTGCTCAGGAATCCAGCTAGTCTCTTTCCGCGTCAAAGAAGTGACTGCATATTTGCATAGAATGCTACCTTTCGAGAGTTGACTAACGACAACCAATTGCTTCAAGTCGCGCAAAAACCTGCACGTTTTTATGGACTCGAAACTCTGTCGAGGTTTCAAGATCGTGTCCAAGAGTTTGGCAGCCTTGTAAGTATGTTGCGGTGAAATTCTGTTCTCTGTCCTGCATCTCTCATTCTAGTTCTCATCGTTAATATTTTAGTAATTGATAATTATTTGCCTTATGGCTATTTCCATGTTTCGTACATCATGAAGGTGAGTAGCAGTGCATGTCTGATAAGCCTCTGAATTCTTATGTTGAACTTTTTAACCCTATAATGGAGGCAGGTAGTTGTAAGCGGGCGACTTAAAATGTTAGAATGCCCTCAGAGGCTTAGCTTCAATCGCGTTTGTCTATTGTAAAAAGATGTGGAAACGTCTCTTGAATGGGAAAAAGGCTACTAAATGGCTTTTCCAGAAAGAATTTTCTCCTAGCAACCTGTCGCTTGTTGTATCAGTGAAATTTTGTGAGCGGGCAATTTTTGTTAAGTCTGTATAACTTTCAGTGGGATTTTGTATTTAATTATGTTAAAAAGATGCTTTATGTAAAATCATACGCGTCATCTATTTCAGAATATCTGAAAAAAATGAGCCAATTATAAGCGCAATTTCATTATTGAATGTCAAAATTTACCTGCCTCTTGTAAGGTAGTGAGAAGCAGTGATCGCTTATTTTCTGTAGTTTTTAACGTGGTCGTGCTTTGATAAAATCTAACTTCTAACCATGCATCATTTGAGATATTTTGGCACGGGTAATTCCTTGCCTAAATAATAATAAAATCTAAATTTTTACTCTAAATTCTCATTAAAAAACTTTAATT